TATTTCTCCCAACCAAGGAGTACAGAGCAGTCGTTAGCCACTAGTAGTTTTTCACTCCGCAGCTGAGAGGAGCGAACATTAGGCGCTAGTTAGAGCCACAGTAGCGAAGAGAAGACGAGTGACGAGCGAGTTTTCTCCTCGCTCCCCCAGGATAATTACGTCCACCCTTCCAACCGAGAAGCGAAGAAGGTAAGTGTGCGAAGATAGTACACTGAAAGAGCCGGTTATTAACTGCGATGATGAATGAAGACGATGGGCGCTCGCACATATACTTAATATGTACGTGGAATAACAAGTACCTGCTATCGTGTCGTGCCTCTTCCTCCTCGTGCTCGTAAGTACAATATACGAATGTCGCGTGATAGGTGTGTGTTTTACTTATACATTTGTAATAATGTCGCGCGCCGGATGCGTATAGTCGTATACGGCGAGCACGTATATAAGTATTGCAGTCGGAGCGTTTTTTAATTACTACTCTGTCAATACGTCGCCCTACTTGCTGTTGTTCGCTGCGCCTCCTGCTGTCTATAGTGTGCCTGTGCGTGCACGCATGTGTGTATGCATGTGTGTGTGTGTGTGTGTGTGTGTGTGTGTGTGTGTGTGTGTGTGTGTGTTTTATTTCGCAAACGACCTGGTGCGGAAAGACGAGGTGTTTCAACTCTCCCGGGGTCGCTGACTGTTCTATTATACACGTGTGCCGGTTTTCTTCTACGAGCAGCGCTCGATTTTCTTCGCCAATTGCGTGTGCTTGATGGCCCCTACCTCGTAGATACTGCTTGCCGTAGGTCGCCTTTAAGCTCATTTTTTTAATTCTTCCATTCATTGATTTATTTATTCCTTATGACTATACGAGCTTGAATCCCTTTTCGCTTAAATATGTGCCAAACCCTACTTTCTACCACCCGAAGTACAGTCATACGACTAAATTATGAAATGTCTTCAACTTTTTTTGGAGGAACCAACTATTAACGTAACATCCAAACTATATGAAAGTATCTGAATCTTCAGAAATTTGGGGAAGTTTTGATCTTAGAAAACGAGAGTTTAAACACTTCCGCAACCCAGAAATGTAAATTCACCGATGGACGCTCCGCCAAACTGGAGCGGTACTAAAGCAAGACAATAAAATTCACAATAAATCACAGTTCGCAACATCCAAATGTAAAACATCGTAAATAGTTGAGGAAATTACGACAGCCTCGTTGTTGACTCGTGAAACTGCATGGCTTTTCTCTGGTTTCCATCTCAGAGTCTAGAAAAACATGAAATCCTGCACTGCATCGACTCCAGTCTTGACTCAGAGATAAAAAAAAGGCAGAAGTGCAAAAGTACCACCTTTTTTAACGCCGAACTTAAAAAATGCTTACGATATAGTAGTTCGAAATGAGTGACACCCTAAAGTCTCCACATGTATCTATGAAAGAACGTCAAAATATTTTTATGTTTTTTAACTGAAGTATTACTTTGGCATTAGTACGAAAAGAAAAACTTGCACTCAAGACATACGAATACAAAAGTGGCTCAATACCCCAGGCTGAATAATTTACGCACTTTTTAGTATTCCCTAACAACGCAGGCATATAATCGTGTCCTCACATTGTATTGAGATTCATACACAAATGTATGTATATATGAAAGCAGGCAAGCGTAGCGTACGTGCATGGGTATATTTATATACCGGCTATTATCGGACCGTATGGCCATCTCCTCGGAACAACTGTGCATTACACGGGCATAAAGGCGTAAAAGAATTTAGGTTTACAAGCAAACGACGTGGACGAGCTGTATAAGCGCTTGGTAGAGGATTTAATATCGAAGGAAGGCGGAAGGTGTGTATATATATACACGTGCAGACGGCCCCCACAACACACTGAAGGTTTTCGTTATCACGAGAGCGCTAAGAGCCGCGATATACGCAATAGTGTTTTTGTGTTTTTGCGCGCACTTGCCCGCAAGAAAAACACCGGCTGGGCACTTCAAAGCCCATCGTGTGTTTGCGTTGCATACATTCCGAATTGGGGCTGTAAAGTTGAATTACTTTTTTTTTTCTTCTTCGCTCGAGATCCACACGGCCGACGCTGTTAAGCTGTAAACTCTCTTTATATACAAAGTATAAAAGTCTGGTCGTCGTCGTTGCCGTTTCCCGACGTTACTCACTCGGTCTATCAGTTTTATTTTGCGTGTCTCGCAAGTATTAGGAGCCTGTTAATGATCTTACGCAGGAAGGTTGGAGAATTGCGAATATCCGGGGCAAATTTTATATCCACTCGTGGCTCGCTGTATCCTCTAGTGGTCTGTTGTTGCGAGCAAGTGGCGGTTTAACTGTCTGGGGATTTCGGACGTTTTCATGATGCATCAAAAACTTGCACGAACTTGCATGGATGATTTCAGCGATGACTCGTGAAAAATCTATTTCAGTTTTACCTGTATTTGTTTGATAGGTCATGAGAGAAAATAATTTATCACTGAAACTTAACTGGGACATTTTAAATGTAACATATATGTGTTCGCACGAAAACACTCACACACAATACAGTGGCTTTGTTCTTTTAGGAGCTAGTACTACACAAGAGTTTAGTAGCCGTTTAACTTATAGTATATTACGTACCTAGGCCAGAAAGTGGGGCTACATCTGACCGCGCATTACGGATAATATAGCGCGGTCAGTAATAGCCCCACTTTCTGGCCTAGGTACGTAATATACTATTTTTACGTTTTATATTATTTTGTTTAATCCATCTACAATCAAAAGAATGATACTATGTACCAAAGCCTGAATCAAGAATATTAAGCACTTTGAAGAAATGCATTGTCAACTATCAACAATGCGACTTTTACTCCTACAAACCTGGTACAATTATGGGCTATCAGATTCAACGTGCGTCGCTCTCTCTGACATGATTTTGCGACGATGTCCATAAATCACTGTAAAATATTTTCCTCATCTCGCAAGCGCTATCTTTGTCCTGCAACCTCGTCCGCTCGCTGATCTCGTCCATTTTCAATTATGGCCCATTACAAAGCAGCAAAAGCAGTAGCTCGGGCTCTATTATAGGTATTATGCATGCACATATCGAAGCCCACGTCAGGCCGCCGTCCTTGCCCGCAGTAGCGTTTAGCATTTGCTCGTCGTTGGCTACGGGGTAATCAAAGCGTTGACCATCGGAGCTTGCTGGCTTACCACCTTATTTGACTAAACAATTCCGCAAACGATACATTTACATTATAATTAGCCTCCAGTGCTGTCGAGTGCTGTAGTGAGGGAAGGGGGGGAGGCTGTGCTGCAAGATAATGTGTGACTGAATAATAGACATGGGCCTGCTTGCCTTCCCATCACATTGTCATTGCAAAGCCGCGGGTGGGTATACGTATATATTGCTATAGGTATAGGTATGTTTGTGCACGAAAGTAGAGCCAAGCGTGTGCATGCATTGTGTGTCGTACTCGTTGAAGCTGCACGGCGTTCGCGTTGACGCATCGGGGCGCACTGACGTTTCCCATTAAATACGCTTTAATGCATTATCGTCAAAGGCCCGATTGGTGGTATAATTTATATACCTGTGCCACGCGCGAACAAGCGAGCGAACAAGCGCAACAGAGAGCGAGAGAGAGCTTACGAGTTTGCCTTTGTGTGTGTACATCGTTTTGTCGAACGATTGTCAATCCAACCATGAATTATAACTGGGACGACACTGTGTGTGGAGTTTACGCGCCGGGATAGATAATGTGCGAGTGACGGGGGCTGATTGGCACTTGGATTTTGTAATTTTATCTCGCACCATGTGGCTGTGAGATTTTTTTTTTTTTTTTTTTTTTTTTCGTTAGAGGATTATGATCAAAGGTGGTGCTCTTTTTTTTTTGTTTAATTTTTACTTGATAAAGCGTAAAATGTGTTGAAAAGTTGGAACTTTGACATTTTTTTATAAATTTGATAAGATAATGTTCGGATTTAGCGATGTTTACTATTAGATATGATGCTCACCATTCGATAGATGCCGCCACCTATCAGTTCTGCTTATTTCTTGTAAGGCCTTTTCATTCATACAAAATTTAACAATTCCAATAAATAATGCAAAAGCTCCAGGATTTGTTTATTTGCGTCATGTGGTACAACCTTGTACCTAATTAAGGTGATGCAGAATTAGACGAAAAGTTATTAGGATTCAATAGAATTTTAACATGTCGGTATTTTACAACTAGAGCTTTTCATTAAAGCATATTGAATCGAGTATAATAGTCTTTGAATATGTAGTTTTTTTTTTAAATATCTCATGTGCTCCAAATGAGGCACCAGTGAAATGAAATTAATCCATGGCTGCAGTATAGCACCTTTGGAGTCAGCTTTGGACGATATTAAGCTCTTATTGTTCGTTTCGAATAAAACGAAAGACATAAATTTCTTTCGATTTTAAGACTGTACTCTGCCAAAACTTTATCATTACATCCATCCAACATTATCTTAAAATGTGTTGCAATCGAAAAAAAAAAAAAAAAAAAAAAACCAATAAAATAAAAAGGATTGATTTTCGCCGGTCCTGAAAAAGCTTTCCCGAGCTTTTAGCCCAGCCAAAAATTACTTATACTCTGTAGTTAAAGGCATTCCACTTGACACCAGCAGTTTCACACACGATGACGCCCGACGAGGACGTCAACGAAAAGAGCCCGTGAGCGACAGCTCCCTACTCCATCTATCTCCATCTCCAGGACGACACCGCGCGCTCGTCCTGACAGTGGGGAGCCTCTCTTCTCGCCTGTCTCCAGTCGCGCTTGCAGTACATGCATACAACGCTCACAATCCTGGGGGGCGAAGGTTGATGGGAGGGCCTTCGCTGTATACATAATATCCACACATGCAGACTCCCGGAGTGTACTGATACGAGCGGCTGGTGCGCGCGCGTACAGCGTTTATATGGTCACAGTGGCAAGAAAGAGAGGGAAGTGGAGCAGAGGCGCTTGCCGGCCGCGCCGAGAGAGTTGCGCCGGTCGTGGGATAGTCTCGCTTTGGAGTCCGTCCTGTATGAACGCACGAGGGCCGCTGTCACAGTTATAGGCACGGCTTCAACAAAGTTCACGGGAAAGGTGTTCCCTCAGTTGTACATGCTTGCATAAGTACATGCGGTAATTACCAATGAGACTCTGCTGCGTGATGCGGTAACAAACGGTGCTTTGTGTGTTTCGTCGAGTGCCCGTGTGTATTTGGTTTGAAAAAAAAAACGAGAGCTTGCTGATTTAAAAAAAAATTTGTTTATGTTTATTTGGAGCGTATCGCTTCCGTGGATAGATAGTATAGACGAGTGTTTGGTGCGAGACTTTTTTTGAGGTATCGAGCTGTGAGGTGGTGAAAAAATATATATGATGAGGCCGAGGGAATATTATGTGGTGACATGAGTTTAGGGTTTGAAGATAAGTGATTTTGAAGGCCCGAAGAAGAAGATAATTACAAGGAGGAAGAGGAAAGACAAAGGGGGAAGTGTAGGTACGGCTGGTCCCAAGATGCTGACATCGAGCGCCAATCAGTACCTCCGTCCGGAGTACATAACACCTCTACCCACGACGGTAAGTGACATTTATTTATGTTGCACTAACTACCTACTCTTTCGTTGGTTTTTCCCGTCAGTCCTTATCCCTTTTCCTGTACGCTTGATCCTTCGGACGATGACCAAAAAGAAAAACTATCACCTCCTCGCGTGCACACACGGTGGGATTACGTTCGCCGTAAATTCCCGCTCGTTTCGGCCGCGAGGGAAAGCAAACAGCTAATTCTTAGTTTTATGGTGATCTATTGGGTATGCCCAGGAAGCCAAATATTTAGCTGGTGCGCAATTTCTCGCGGCTGTTCTTTAGCTGCTTACGACCAGCTGCCTAGCCTGAAAAATCGGTTCTCGATTACCGATCTCTCTTCCAGAAACCCCTACACAACAACGACTCGGAGACGCTATTATTACTTTTGCGTTTGGATATAGTTCATAAATTTTTTGTTAAAACTTTTTTTTTTGTAGTGCAGGTGTTTTAACATTACTGACCCGAGGACGCGGTGACACCGCAAATAGTAACGTAACTCGCTGCAGGTGTCGCAAAACACATTGCCAGAACGGAAAAGTCGCAGAGAGCAGAACGAAGAGAGCGCGATATTTCACACCCGAGAGTTACGCTCCGTGGGCAAGAAAAATTGCCGGGACCGCGCTGCGTGGCGCTAAAGAATAGAGCGAAGCTGTGCAGCGGCATCAATCAAATGGCCTTTTTTTTATTGTTTCATCCGCTGGCTCGTTTGTGTTTAATTTCACCCTCTGCCATTGGGTTACTGGCGTAATATCGCAACAGTTGTAATGATAATTAATCTTCCACGCGCTTGGGTTCCGATGTGGTGGTGTGGTTCAGGGAACGAAATAAATTCGTTTTCCCGGAGAATTTACAAGCCGCTCCGCAGATATACGCGTGTTTGTGCAATCAATTATGTGTCTACGCTTTTTTTTTTTTTTTTTTTACTTTTACTGCTCGACTTTTCTCCTCCGCGGCGTACGCGGTGTAATTGATGACGCGAGTTGCGCCACCGGATTGATTATCTCCCGGTTAATCGGGTAAATATTATTCCCGCGCGTAATCGCCGTCAAAATAATTGCGCGAATTTATAAGCCCATAAAACCCGCTGAGTTACGTGCTGCGTTTTTATGGCTCCCGTTTTCCAACCAAACGCCGAAATGTTGCGCAATCGGCTCCGAGTTTGTCTTGATTCTTCTCGCGTCGTAAAACCGCTGCAATTTTTTTTTTCGTCGAGTCATCGATTCAAATAAAAATTGCCGCACCCGTGAAACAGCCAAAGCGGAGAAAGAAGTAAAACGGAAAAAAGAAAGAGAGAGAGACAAAAAGATCGCAATCAACCACTTCCGACACTACGGTCCCGGCACAATGCAGCACAGCCGCGCTCATTCGCTCCGTGAAATTCCGGCCGCGTCCGCTGGGTGTATACATGAATATACGTGCACTTAACCAGCAGCAGCGAAACGAATGCAAATGCTATTAGAGACACGGCAAAAAAAAGTTAATAGCATATACTTCTACCGACAAGGACGACAAATCGCGCGGAACGATGGAAAAAAAAAAGAAACAAAGGTGTAGGTTTTGATGGTGAGCTTTCGTCACATACGAGGTCACATTGATAAAGGACGTTTGCTTCGTCCTCTCTCAATTTGACGTAATCCACGGAGTCAGCGAGGGAGAAGGAGTTGAGCTTAAACTATTTTCGGGGTGGCAGGAGGGAACCGGAGCTTTCCGGTCTCACGCGACGCGCTTTCGATTTATGCACCGCATAAATCAAGCTCTCTCTCTCTCTCTCTCTCTCTCTCTCTCTCTCTCTACATCCCCGTTTCACTTTCATCGGCGTGGTTGCGCAGTGTATTTACCTTGCGCCCTCTCTCCGACAGGAAACAATGTGCTTATTTCAGTGCGGCTCCTCGTCGATGCTGAAAAATACAAATTTCACGCGGATGATGCGCGACGAATGGGCCAAGGGGATCCTGTTTTGTCACTACCCGCCGAGTGGGCCCTTAGTTTACATTGTCCCCTGTCAGCCCGATAAACGGTAGTACTGCCGATGCATCGGATGTCCTTATCGCTCGGTGCTCTCGAGTCGTCTATAGCACAATAGGTGTACACGTAAGGGGGGGAGATGGTATACGTGTGCGGGTTCTTCTTTGGCCCCTCACGCCCTTGTTTATTGGGCATTTAATCTTGTTGCCGCGACCTTTCACGCCTTTCACGCTACGACGGAGTACCTTGTTTCCCTAACGCGTGAAGCGGTGGCATTTTTTTTTTTTCAATGAGAGCGTCTGTTATTTTGCGGAAATTGTACGTAAAACTTTATCATTTGAAAAATTTGTTGCTGGGAAAAAAATTACGATAATCGTCTCGTGCTACATTGATAAAAATTTATTTAGTTGTACGTCGACGCGTTTACCGATGATATGGACTATATTTTTTTTTGCACAAGGACATAAATTCGCTTTTTATTGGTTTCGAGGTTTTTCGCCCGATATTGGAATAATTGCGTCAACGATTCAACAGCGATAACACTTTGCGTATTTTTAAGATTTAAATGGCATTTTTAGTTTTTTACGATGCTAAAAAAAGGCGGCTTCGTAAAAAATTTCAGTTCTGCGAAGTATTACGTGTTTTCGGCAGAAAAATCACGTCGATTTGTTTATAAATAAATTGAAAAAAAAAAAAAAAAAAAAAATTAATCCGTCGCTCACAGGGTGTCCCGAGGAAAAAAAAAGTTGGCTCGAAAATTTATTTAGAAACGAAAGAGGAGAGAAATAAAAAAAAGAAAAAAAAAGTCCAGCAGAGTCGACCCGATAATTTCAGCGCGGTAAATTATGAAAATATAAAATTATACAGTCGGTGGAGGAAGAGAGCGAGAAAAATGGCCGTGATTTATGCGCCCGCGGCCCGAGATAAATGTGCTCCCATGTATCTTGCGTCTCGCGCGGCGAGTCGCGTGCAAGAAATAAATCTCAGGAAATTTTTATTAATACCCACCTAGCTCTCGGGAAAGCGCTCACTCTCCTCTTTCATCCTTTCCTCCTCTACGCTCTTACATACACGTGAACACGCATGCGTGCATACAACAATGCCACTGTGCGCTCCCGTGACACGTATTATTAACCACAACAGTTTAATGTGTGCACTCACTGTCCTCCTCGTGAATCGACAAACTCGTAAATCAACGCGACGCTCCCTCGTGTCTATCTGTTTTCCGCAATGCGCTCATGTGACCCACTGATGTAGTGTCTCTCCCAGCGATAACAAAATAACACTTTGCTCCTGGGTTATCCAAACCCGTTCAATAATAACTTTTCTTTATCGTCACCCCAGTGACGAGCCTCTTATTTTTCAAGAGTCAAAAGAGATCAAAGGCCATCGTCGGATAAATTTATCCCCTCCCCGAGGTACGGCTCGCACTTGTGTGTACAATACACGCGTGAAACGTTGAAAAGAAAAAGGGAAAAAAATTCATCGGTTGGGCGCCGAATAGTTATTTCCATCGTAAATTCACTCGGCGGGAGATAATACGCGGTACCGCTTATTTTCATCACGAATCCAGCCTACTCTTATTTTTTTTTTCCTCCTCCGCTCTCCCATTTCCATAAAACAGCATCAAACGCGAGGCGCGCGCTCACGATTTTATCAGTTTCCTCGACTCGCCGGGCTATTATTTTCAATTAGCGCGCGGTGACCCCCGCGAGACTAGTAGTACGTTTCCACCGCACGTCTCTGACTCGAGTATAGGTGCCGGTGTTTCAAATAATCGACCGGAATGCCGACGCGCGCGTTGTCGATTTTGCGGGACTTGAGTTATTTATCGACCGGTTAATTAGTCATGAAATATGTATTTGGCTGTTTTGTTGCGTGATCGGTAAAACGCTCCGAAACAAAGCGGCTCGTTGAGAATTCCCAAAAATTCGATGTACGACCACTGTGTTTAACAGGTCCCACCCCCCTTCGCACAGTGAAATCATTGCGTTTGTATGACGAGCGAAAGAAACGGAGTAAAAGAGAGCCGGGCATAAATTATAATTTTATTCCGGTAGCTTGACAAGCTCGTACACTTATTGATGGCGCGCCCGACGTGATCAGGCGAAAAATAAAAAAAAAAACCGGTCTCTCGTTCCGATTGAAATATGAGACGACTCTGAAAACTCCATTCCGTGCGTATGTGACTACATGTTTTTTTTTATTCATTTATTTTCGTACGCACAAATTTCTTTCATCAATGCGAATTCGAGCAAATATCGCTTCGCTGTGGTTGTATAACTAATGGTCATAAATTTCCTTGTTTTTTTTTTTTTTTTTTTTAATTTTTTCGTGTTATTCCGTAATAACTTTGCAATGAATGAGAAAAAAAAAAAAAAAAAAATACGCTTGTATAAAAGTGAAACTCGATCGGTGACTAAATTTGTTCCCCGAGTTTCGACATCTGTACAGAGGCCCGCAATATTAATTCATCCGACGTAATAAATGCATCCGGGGCACCATAAAATTCCTGCGGCTGTAAAAATTTATTCCCCTTCATCGTTTGCAATAAAACGATTGAGCATTACACACCACCGGGCATAACCACTGCAAAACTGTTTGTGCCTTTTTTCAAAATTATTCGGCCTTATTTTCTCTCAACAATCGTCATCACCATCCCGACGAGCACAGCTGGCATTAAACCCGTACATCCACTCCTCGCAGCGTATATATATACAGCTGTAAATTCTTGCGAAACAATTCGCACGAGAGTCCCGATGCCCAAGAATGAGAGTACGAGCACAGTCATCGCTGGTCGGTTCTCCTTGGGTTTTACACGCGAAATCCCCGCAGCCTCTAATCCGACAATTAAGTTACATTTCATTAGCTCGGGCGCTTTATTAGACCCTCGCCGGGGTAAAGGCGGCCGAGCGCTAATGTCCTGGGCGTAATTAATTACTTTTGACTATATTTCTTCACGCGAGATAACGACCCGAAAGTGACTATCTATTAGCCGGTCGGTTGAGCGAGTTTGTGACTGTATACGCAAACCCACCCTCGCTCTCGATGATAAACTTTAAATCCTCGCCTCTCGCACTTCTCGCCCACTAGTTCGAGTTGCACAGGTATAAAATACACTCCGCCGAGAGATATAATTAGCAGTAAATTTTCACGGCTCTTCGAGCCCACGCGCGCGCAGATACATGTAACACCCTCGCGGAAAAGCCTCCTGCCGTCATACCGGCTTGTAAACGTCGTCTTTTCTCTTTTTTCCCCCCTCGAATCATTAAACCGCGCTCTCGGTGTTTACACCCTGTTGCTCCATCGAGGTCCGCTTGTCGGGCTAATTAATTTCCCCGGTTATCTATTACACGCTTCCCGACGTCTCTCTCGGACACCGTGCAATTTAGTATCGAACAATGTTCATGGAGCTCGGTGCCTGTTGTGGTTTCGCGCGTCGAATTAATCGACCGGGACGATAAATCATCGTCGCGTACGTATACCCGCACGTCGATAAATCGTGTCGCGACCTGTTTTTATCTCTTGTGCGATTAGAGGCGTTGTAAATATATTAAATGTGTACACGTAAAATATGTGTGTATATATCAAATGCAAGATATCGCCGCCACCCAAACACGGGACTGTGGTATGTCATTATATCATATATATATAACGTACCGCTGGTAATTGTTTATACTCGCAGGGATTTCGATCGAGTTTGCTAATCTCCGTAATTATTCCCGAAAGCCAGCCACGCGCTCCGAGAGGCCAATAGCACCGTGACCCCCCTTTCCTCGGATATTACATCCAATCACCGCAATTTTCGTAAACCAACCTCTGCCATGCGAACAAAGTATACCTACTTGTGTGTAATGTCAGGGTGGAACATTGGCATGATAATTCGTTTGGATCGAGAACCACAGACGGCGACATGTTTGTACCGAAGCTTTAAGCGTTTCCCGATGTTATTTTTTTGATCAATTGTCAAAGAGCTTGAATTATCCGGACTACTTGGACGCGTCGATGTATTGCCAGTGTGACGCTGTACGTAGGGGAGCCCAGCCCAGCGGCATTAATCCATTAGAATCGCTTTACCTCTCCCACTTTCCCCCGACTCATTCTCTCTCTCGTCGTCGGTGTTGTTGTTGTAAAGTAACTGGCTGCATTTCGCCCATACTTGCACCGAACACCGAACCCGCCTGGTGACGAGGGAGGCCTACAGTCGACACAATTCGTGTGCCCTGCCGCTGCATTGATTCTGTTAGCTGTTTAACTGGCTCTACGAGCAAGACGCCCGACATATGTACAAACAGTCGCCGACGACGCGCGAACCTACATTCGGGGAGCTTATGCAAGTTAGCGCGCAGTCAAAATGACGTTGTACAACCCTCTGACGGGCAGAGAGTTGACTTTCGAATATCCAATCTGTGATGCAACGTAAATATATAATTTGTATAGGCGTTGGGGAAGAGTGACGTTTGTCAAAGAGGCTCTATGGGATGAGTCTAATTAAACTTACGTACATGTGGAAGCTTTTTCACGTGTTTCTTCAGTACAGTCACTGTTTGTACGGCCCATTTTATCACCATCAGCTCTAAGACCCTACAATACCAGTGTGAATGAACCATCAGTTCCTAGTCATCGATTCCTCATCTGTTGAACAATTGACTAATGTGCTTTTACGACGGTACCACATAATATTATGTATTAATCAAATCGATGAATCATTTTACCTTGTTATTTCTGTTGCAGCTGGACGCAAAAAAGAGTCCCCTGGCTCTCCTCGCCCAGACGTGCAGTCAAATAGGCGTGGACCCGCCAACGAGCAAGTCCCTGCTGGTACCGCTCGACAAGTCTCAAAAACTGTCAAAGTCGGGGTCGACCACCTCGTCATCATCGTCAGACTCGTCGAGTCGCGACAAATCGTCACCATCGTCCCAGAGCAACAACTCCACGTCATCGTCAATGTCGTCCGCGTTCTCAGAAACCAAGCCCACCAGCAGCTTCAAGCCTTATGAGTCCTGCGTGTCGCGGGACAAAGTATCCAGCCCCGAGCAGCGCGTCCCCTCCGCCAACTCGAATCCCGGCGGTGGTGGCAGCTCCTCCCGCTCCCGGACGCCCGCGGGCAAGCGCTGCTCCAGCAACCAGAGTGCCTCATCGGGCAGCGGCAGCCGTGCCCTCACGCCCCAGGGTCGCAAGAGCTCCACCCCCGGGGACAGTACGCACCGCGAGTCGCCGAGCGCAAGGCTAGCGAGGGAAGACGCCGCCTCCAGATCCGCCTCGTCCTACAGCCCGTCGAGCCTGCAACAGCAGCATCCGTCGTCCAAACCGACGGCCTACAGTAGTCACCTGGTCGCGTACTCCTCCGCCCACCAGGACCACCTAGTCCAGAGCACCAGCTGCTTCAGACCGTCGGCCCTGAGTCTGTCGACCTCCGTTGCCGGTGGTGCCACCACGACGACGACGCCCTCGGCCGCGTACGGTCTGCCCTTCCCGGCCCAGCTGCCACCCATGGACCCCATGACCGCCAGCTCGCTCATGTCCCAGCACGCGGCCCTCAAGAACGGCCTGGCCGTCAACCCGTACCTCGGCTACACCCGCATAAAGACAGCCACCGGCGCCGAAGCCCTAGTGCCGGTCTGCCGGGACCCCTTCTGCACCGGTTGTCCCCTCAACAGCCACCTCCTCGGCGCCGCCGCTGCTGCAGCCGCCACCTCGCCCGTGAACGGTTCCAAGCTCCCCAGCAGCACTAGTCCCAGCGCCGCCTGCCCCGCGGGCTGCGCCCAGTGCGACCACAAGCAACAGCAAACATCAGCTCCCTCGCCCTCCGCGACCGCCGCCGCCGCCTCGCCCGCACCCCCTCCGTCCATGACTGCGAGCCCCTACGCGGCCTACGCCCAGATGGTGGCCCTGGCCGCGGCGTCCCAGCTGCCCTACATCTGCAGCTGGGTGGGCACCGACACGGCCTACTGCGGCAAGAGGTTCGCGAGCACGGACGAGCTGGTCCAGCACTACAGGAGCCACACCGGGGACTCGGCCGCCGCGGCCGCGGCCGCCACCATGTCGTTGCTCACCCCGCCCGGGCACCCTCTCCTCTCGAGGAGCTATCCGACGCCGCCCCTCAGTCCTCTGGCGAGTGCTAGGTATCACCCGTATGGCAAGGGGCCCTACCCCGGACCCCCGCACCCCCACCTTTCGGCTCTGGGGCTGTCCCTGCCACCGTCGCATCCACACTCGGCGGCGGCAGCTGCGGCGGCCGCGGCCGCTGCCGGTCTTCCCCCGTACTTCTCGCCCTACTCGCTCTACGCGGCGGGCTCGAGGCTGGGCGCCGCGACGGGGATGCATCCCTAATTTGGCGGCGGGTTGGTTTGGCGACCAGAGCTTTTGGTTTTATGATTTGAGGGCGTGGATAGTGTAGAAAATCGAGAGGGCGTGTCACCGCGGATCTGCATTGACTGTGATTGTTTTTCTCTTTTGCGACTGTCTTAGGGTTACTCACTTGTACACGTGCCGTTGATGTTTGTTTTGCGAAAATATTCGATTATCGCATGATTTTTTGTCAATAATATTTGTCATGAGCTCGAATGAAGTTTAAATAGTCGAGCTTCTTTTCCACTCGATACGTGAATTTCCGCATTTGTTGTTCTTAAAAAAAGTAAAAGAAAAGAAAAAAGTATGAGTTGAAAAAAAACACCCACAAACGCGTACGAATTTCATTGTTGTATATTCCATTGGTACGTTTCGCGCGGCTGTACGCCTAGGCCAGGCATAATCGGCCGTTGTGTCCACACTCCCCGCATTTACCTGCCCACCTTTTCCCCTTTGATTATTATTTATGTATTCCCCGTGTCGTAAGGAACAATACGTGTGTACAATGCGTCATCCTGCTTTAATGATCGTATTCAATCGACCCTTTGTCCGTAACTGTACGGAAAACTTGTAAATTTGTTTATAGAAGAAGAAGAAGAAGAAAAAAAAGAGACGTATTCAGATGTAAACTATTAACGTTCGTTGCTCGTAATAATGAGTGAAAAAAGTGTGTCGCGTGTTAAAATGATGATGAGGATGCTTGTGACGAGAGAAAAAAAAAGTTGATAGTTGCGCTGAGGGACGAAAAAGTTCTAACGATATAAATATTATAAATATATACATATAAACAATCTCGTCGTCTATTTTTGCGTAACCAAAGTTCTTTATATATAAATAATTATACGTAGTAAACACATTTTATTGGTCTATCCGTAGAACGTTAACGTGTCGGTGCACATGAGACGAAAAAAAAAAAAAAAAAAAAAAAAAAAAAAAAAGAATAAAAAAAAAGACACAAAGAGGCACACAGACATTGTGTTTAGACGATTACCTTACATTGTACCAACCGAGAAACGTCGATTGTAAATGACACTATCGAGCTGGCAATATTGTTAGCAATACAACATGTTCTTTCTACTGTTAATAATATTGCTCAAACGCTATGATGTAATATTATAAATATTATTTTTATCGTATCACAAATTATTACAACTGCGTCGTACTAATTACTCGTATCGTCGTCACATACCTTTCGCACTTGATAATATCAATTTAAATATTATTGTATTGATACTTTTATTGTATTGTATTGTAATTTTTAATTCGAACTAATTTTATTGTATTATTTATAACATTATTGGAAAAAATACGTGCCGTTTGTTTTTATTATCCAACTTTGAGATGTACAAAACATTTCTCGAGGTTCCCTCACTCTTTCGATTTCAGTGGCGAATCAGGAGAATTAAAAACAAAAACGCTAAAAGCTCAGCGAATCGTTAAAAAATACATGCTTACGGAAAAGCTGTAACCATTATAATCCGTATGGATGGTCGAAAAGATGCCACCGAAGTTAGAATGGACGAGACCACCGACTAATCTGTAACGTTTACGCTGATAGTTGTTTTCTCTTCGCAATAGAGGTATTGTTGTATCAACCTGTCATATGATTTGAAAATTGAAGTAAAAAAGAATCTGAAATAAAAAAAATAAAAAAATTGTTTCTCACTAGAACATTGTTTTATTATTGTCAGCAGTGCCTACCCTAAATTCTAACATCTAGTATTTACAATTATTAGTAATTTGGTGTGAATAAATAATTTTGTAATCTTTATGATAATTTTGGTGGAAAAAAAACAGAATCTAAAAGAAAAATTTTTTAAAATCTTTTTTTATTAAAAAAAAAAAAACTTTTTTTAAACACTAATATTGAACAAAAATGACACACGATGTACAATATTACTTTCTTCAAGCGCCTTTATTCAGCACAAAAGCACTGTACATTTCATCGATTTCACGTACTATAACGTAAGTATATAACTCTTACAAACTACAGTCGCTCAATTATATTTGATTACATGTAGGGGCACTTAATTTTATAACCACCCCACGTAATTGGTATTGAAATTTTTATTGGAAATAACAGGTGAAGTTGCAAACTCTAACCACCAAGAAAGAAGCAGCACGAATTTAATTGTCCTCTGTTCAGGTCAAAGTATCCACAATAACAGTGAGCTACGCTTTGCTTTAATGCACATATGAGTTGGTGGACCTGTCAGGTAACACTGGACCATCGATATATCTGCAGTGCACGCAAACAACAGACAGTTGAGAGTCACGTTATGTTGTATGCAATAATAATCGTGCGTGCGATGCGTGTATCAATAGACGGCAATCATCGCGTACAGTGCACGTGAACAACCACAGTCCTCCAGCTCGGAACCAGAGACACCGATGGAATCAAAATCCTTCCACTGGACTCCCCCGTGGCGATCGCGTCGCCTAACCAGTCCCTCCAGTCAAAGATTCATCGATAACCATAGCCAGAGTACAACGTGTTGTACGTATCGCACAGAGAGAAATATTCATGTCAATTTGTACTACATGCAAGCTCGAGCTACATCCGGGGGAACTTCTCTTGCGCTCCCGCGTGTACGCGTTTGTACTTCAATGCGGTCAGGGATTGCGGGAACGTCATTGCATCTGTCACATTACCATTGGGGGCTATTGGACGCATCTCTCTCTATATACCCCTGTGTGCAGCAATATTAGTTCACGCATCACGGTCGAACAGTTGCACCACGGCTCCGGATGTGGACGCGTGCATCGACACTGATTGGTCATTCTATAGTATGCCGCAGTGAGGGATTATCATTCACTGCTGTGCACATGGCTGATACTTTTTTTTTCAATCGATTCCTTTTTTCATTTTTATTTGCCCGGCTGTCGATGGTAAAAATGGTTCCGTAATTATTTATCATCTTTTGGAGTGATAGTCGAAAGTAGAAGCAATATTTCAAACAAATGTGGCATCTTGAAATTTTACGGTCGCAAAATGATCCCAACAAATTAAAAGCGCCCCAGAACAAAAGAGCCAGGCTTAGACACTTTTACGACTGGTGGAGCTTCGTTTGAAAAGCAAATTGTTTCTAAAACAATAACAGTAAAGAAACTCGCGTGAGCCCCAACGACGAGTGCAATAAATTTTCAATAACCCTCGCTCGGAGATTCCGTGATCATTTCTCACGGTACATTACCCACATCGTTTTATCATTGGAAGATTTATGCTCCCAGTCATTTTCAAACCATACGCAGAAGTTGTAAAAGTTATGACTCCTCATCGCTGTGCATAATAAGAATGATCGCTCGAAATACGATGAGCCAGCAAATTATTGGGGTTTCATTGCGACGTGGACAACCGCGTGCTTCGACTGGCATGGCTTAATCAGTGCGGCGCGCTAAACAAATTAAAGTGATTTCGACCCAGTCATCGGTCAGTGGAGAACAAAAGCTTGGGACGACGCCCCAACTCCGATGTAATATCTTCCAAAAGAGGGAAATAAGATTGATTTCCTTGGCCCCGACTTTTTTTCATCCCCTCACAACGCGAAACGATCCGCTTACCGAAATCCCTTTGCGACTCGTCTTTCAAAGCCAAAGCGCGTGCGTTAAACACACATGGCTGGTGAACCAACTCGTCTGGAAAACAAAAAAGGAGCTTCTTCCAGGGCTCGATTTACAGTAACAATCTCGTGACGGTTGTAATTTTTCAGCCGTCACGTGGGCCAAGCGGAAACAAAAAGCTTGAGGGAAGAAGGCACGTACGTACACGCGAGATGAGCAGGTCGAGTGTCCGTCGTCGGGAGCGTAAGTATATCGCTGGGGCACGAGCAGCCGGAGCGGTGACGTCGAAAAAGCGGAAGCAGATGGTCTGAGTCGAGAGAGAAGCGCCCGGGGGAGTATAGACACAGGCGGACGAGGCACATGTAAAGAAAGAGAGCGCGATGGTGTTGGCACTCTCCCTTGCTCAGTTGGCTTTTTGAGTGATTTATGGAGGAGTCCGAACTTTCATCCCGCTCGCCCTCTTTTCACGTGTCCACTTGACCTATTCGCCTCGTTAGGGCGGATAATGTATTCACGAGGGCCGTGCAGATTTTTCGGTACGTGTCGTCTTTCCTGTACTCCGCTGCTATTTCGAGAGCCATCAATTCTCACCGCAAAGGAATGACTTTTTAATGGGCTTTTTTCCCCGGGCATAGACGAAGAAGACGAAAAGGTTCGCCGAGGCTCTTTCATTACTTTCGAGGAGTTATACGACCTATGGTGCGATAGCCTTTTGCACCTGTATACTATAACGCGTATCGCTACGTGTCACTCATAAAACGCGCCTATTGTTGAGAGAAAATTTGAAATGCTCGTAGCAAATTGTACAGCTGTATCAAACTTTTTACAAATTTTCTACAACACTTGACAATACTGCATCAGATGTTTATTATTTTTTGATATTTACTTCAAGTGTGTCTACAACATACAAGTTAATATTGAGCTACTACGAGAGTAAAAAGTACCCACACGTATGTATTCAACGGGTACAGGTGTATGTACATATAATACTGCGCAAGTTAAAAGCCACAATTTCACGCTACATGCGCTCCCTACTATACTAACGCAATAGCGTGCATAAATAATTCGGACTATCAACGTAGCTGCAGCTGTCAATCATACGGGCGTCCCATCAGCGATGCTGCCAGTTAAACCTTACAAACTCTCCTGCCTCGTTCGCGTGTCGCGGATGTACTTATTTTACACGTTATACGATGGCACCCGAGAGGAAGGTGGGTATAAATAAGAGTGACGAAGATTGTCAAGTCGTGCGGATAAATCTCTACGCCAGACGTGTCGTCGGAGCTTTCGCAGATGCATTACACGCGGTACACGTGTACGTTGTACACATACGGGAGAAAGGGATCGATGGCGCATTTCGTATGTACATACATTCGAGCGCGGTGGATGTGTCACGCGGGAAAACGTGTTTTACGCGCTACGCGACTTTTTCCTCGTTTAATTCCGTTCGCCTGACAGTCTTCCCGTTACGTGTATGTATACCCACACGTACCACGTACATATATGCCCTTGTATCTGTCATGTACAAAGTGAAGGATTTAAAAATCCGTCACGTGTAATCTAAACTTACATTTATATATACATGTGTATCGAGCATTTTCAAGTTAGAATCCAAGATAATCCCAATTATCGTGCGGTACTGCGATCAACGCTGCAGCGTAACAAGCCGTCAATTAAAATTCATCAAACGCACTCGTCTCTCTTCCGCTCTTTTTTTTTATTTGCAGGCTGTCAATTAACTCGTAATGCCACTTAACGTTTCAAGACCCACAAGAGTCCGCATCTGCCGAAGAGGGCAATGGGCACTTGATTTTTTTCGTGCAGACGCGATCAATTTCGAGAATCATCATCGCGCGCCCGTCTGGATGTCATTTTCTTGTGGCGATGGAGGGAAGTCCCTCTTGAAGAGAAAGACGTGAGCGCGCCATTCTCGAGGAGCTGCTTCCGGATCTGCTCTATAATGCGTGTGGTGTTTCGTGTCAAATGCTGGGAACTTTGGTGCGTAAATGCGGGTGAAAATACATGTTTACTTAACGCACATGTATATATGATAAGTAACAGTGAACGTATCGAAAAGTGCTGTCCTGAGCACATACACGCGTGTTGTATATTCTAGTAGAGGCGTCGTTGACGACGCCACCTCTGTCTTGCTGTCAGCTGTCGCGTTGTTAGAGGCTCTTTTACACGAGCTTCGTGCGCTCTGCTGAACGAAGCGTCAATTTATTTACGCTTCGGAGTTAAATGAATTAGACATTATTTATGCGCCGTTAGCAAATGATTAGACAATTGTTTTTTGTGATAACTGTTGATGATAAGCAGTGATTAGCAACTAGAGAGGAAATAAACACATTTTGAGCAAAGATTAGTAACAATGGTAACAAGTAGTCGTTCTACGCTATTTGCCTCACCTGACCCCATTCCAGTTTATGTGAGAATAGAAAGTAAAAATAAAGGGGACACCCCGCTGTGAATGAATTAACCAGGCATCATCCGCACGCTCTTATTAACCACCCTATTATTGGGAAGCTAGCCGTGCAAACGACCAACAGCCTTCAAAGTGAACGCGGTCAAAGAGCGTTGATTATGGATTTTCCGTGGAAAAGCGAGCCTTTGCGCGCGCCGAGGGCTAAAATCGCTCACCGTAAATTTTTTGCGTGGCAAATAGAGTGGCATGAAGAAACGATAATGCAAGGAAAAAAAAAAAAAAAGAAAAAGAGTAGGTCGAAAAGTCCCTGTGACCAACCGTGCAGACAAAAGGAGTCGCAGGATCACTCTTGCGCGACAACCCCTCCGTGTAACATTACGTTCGAGTGGCCTCGAATCGTTACATCGATCGTCCTTCCCTCTCTGAAGCTGAAAGTATTTGCCTCCTCTTTTGGCCGAAGCGACTCGCTACCGGACCAACCTGAAAAATGACTCTCGCACTAACGGCAGGCGAGGAAATGGAATTTGTTGTCGATAGCAGTGGCTTTGTTGAAAGAGAGGCGTCATGTCTGCGTGGCGTTGCCGGTGGTCGTTTTGATGCACTCGACTCGGTGGACGGACAAAACCACCCGCCTCTTTCTGCGCACTGTACCGCGTCAATCAAACGTCTCCAATGGAAAATTCAA